CGGCCTTGACAGACACGGGGTTCTGCTCCATCCACATGTGGGTACAGTATGTCTCATTCAAGGCTGTATGATTTTTAGGGTTACTCTAAAATCTCACGAGCAACTTCTGTGTCAGTAAATCTACTTAGAATCCCAAGATAACAATCCAATCGATGTGGGAGAAAATACTGTCACATTTGATGAATTGTAAATAAAATGGCATTTTTGCAAGGAAAACTATTTAGCTCCTAACACTGGCAGTTAAGAAGTCCTTCAATTTTTTTTTTTTTAATTTAAGGGTGATATCGAGGTTGACAAGTTGATGATGTGATCTACTTCAAAGGCAAAATTATCTTATTCTGACTTCTCCTTGACCCTCTAAGATATACCAATTGTTCCCCTCCAAAAAAATCAAAATAAAATTGAAATCACAGTGTCGGGAAAAGCTAATAGCCAGTAATCCAGGAGCAGGGCTGCCCTGCAGATCACCAAAGGAAGGACTGCTGCAGAAACCTGCAATGCCTTGTGCAAAACAGAATTTGCCTTTCAGCCCCATGAATGTACAGAGGAACAGATTCCGAAGGGTTACAAGAGGCAGACACAGACAGCCAATTCACAGAGATGAAATTGGCTTCCATTTGTAATGGTGCTGCAAGGTTCCTGCTAAAAAAGAGAAGACTAAGTCCAAACTTCAATTCGTTAATATTCAAGAAAGCTACGGGAGACTGCACAGAAGAGTAAACCCTCAAAGAGCTTGCAATCTGCTCAGGGGGAGAGAGGTGGAAATAACTCAAACACCAGAGCCCAGAGTGGGGGGTGCGAGCGAGACATTAAATCCTTAAAAGTAACAGAATTTAAGGCAAAATGCTATCATAAGGCACTGTAATGAGCCATTCATTTGGGTTGATAATAATAGTAGTAATAAACAGGAGAAAAAGGAGGAAGAGCCTGGAACATACAAGCAATCTGCTTGGAACCTGCACGGAGGCTATAGAACTAGAACAGCAGGCTCAAAGGACCAAGATCTGGCCCCAGCCTTTCAAGCCTTTGCTCCCACCGTGGCTGCATACCAAACTGCTGCGGCTCTGTGAACCACTCTGCATCTAGCCACCTGGCACCTCTGCTCAATGGGAAGGCCTTTCTACCTCCATTCCCTCTCTTCATTGTCCTCCATACCTCTGTCTCCAACGAATCCCAGAGTCCTGTGGATTTTACCTCCCTACATAGTTCCTGAGTTCATCCATGTCTATCTCTACTGCTACCACCTCGTCTAAGCCACCAGCAACATTCATCTGGATGACTGTAATAGTCTTCTCTCATCCACTCTCACCTCTGTGCCCATTACAGCCAGAGTGTTTGTTTAAAAAAAAAAAAAAAAAAGACAAATCTAATCACATTACACCCCTACTGAAAACTTCTACTGCTCTTAGGAGAAATTCTAGAACCTTCACCTTGGCCTCCAGAATGTGGCTCCCCTACCTATCAGACCACCTCTCTTGCACCCCACATTCTAGCCATATCAACTTTCTTTTAGTTTGCTAATATACCAAGCTCCTCCTCCATTTTGGACCTTTGAATCTGCTGCTCCTCTATCCGAACTGATTTTACCCTAAATACCCCCACCCGATGTTCTAAATGCACTACTCGGCTTGAACATCGCTTTCTGACTCCAGCAGTCTACTTATACAATCTCTTAGAAGCACATACTCTTCCTTAATTGTATTTAAGTAATTACACATTTGCTCGGATAGTCATTTGTTTACTTCACATCTGATTACACTAGAACGTAACCTGTATGTCTTGCATCTCCAGTACACAAGACTGGAGTAGGACATAGAAAGTACTTGATAAAGTCTCAGCTCACTTGCTCTTAAATCTAAGTCTTTTCTCACATCTCTCATTTGGAATTACTCCCTTTCTTTCCTTTACACCCCAAAGTGACCTGTCCCTTAATGTAAACATATTTCCTAGTGTATCTCTCATTACAGTGACATGTGTACATTTTTACCTCCTCTAGACAATAAACTACAGGAAGGAAATGACAGTTATATGGTCCATTCTTATAGCTGTTAAATTCTTCACAGTTCTCTCCTGACAATCTGTTCATAGTCAAACAACTTAACAAACATTTGAATTGTTGAAAAACTGTACAGCATTAACCACTTAAAGCAAACCGACTGGGAGTGATGCTTACTTGTTTCTGGTTGAGCTGCCTTTTCTTTCTTAGCACCACTGCCACTGGGGTGGGATCGTTTCCGGATCATGGACATGAGGGATCTTTGGGAGAAAAAAAAAGATCAACAGGAGATAACTGGATGCCTTATGATTCCGCCAATAAAACGTATAGATTCTAAACAATCAGTAAAAATTCAAGTCTTCTGTACATGCATGAATATAAAAATAGAATTCAAGTAACCTACTTTCCATTTTTAATAA